GAAAAAAAATTGCAAAGTTGGTATCAATTCTGTGAGAAAATGCACGGATTGGCTCTCCTGCTTGTCCACAGAGGAAGAAACGTTTTTCCTGATCCTGAGACAAACTACGAAATGAAGTCCAATTGGCGTGTTGTGTTGAAAAAAATGACCGTACTAATGGCAAAATGAACCCACAATTTCTGACTTCTGATTGAGCAATAAATAACAGTTAAAATGCACCAGAATGCAGTATTATACATACAGTTTTTAAAAATTTTCCAAACCATGGGAGGGGGACACCCACACCCTCCCCCCTCGGGAGCTTCGCCCCCGTGTCTGCTTACTGCCCCCCCCTGGCATTTTGCTCAGGCTACGGCCCTGGAATTGGCCACTGGGAGGCCAGGGATAAGAAAATAGGAAGATTACAACAGATCACTGAGGAGGATTCATACATTTTCAATTAGGAAATTTGATACTGTTTCAAAAAATTTGTCATTTTCACCGGAGGTTAGGGTTTTATGACCATGCAGAAACAGGGATATCTTATCTAGTTGGGTTCTAAAACATGCATAAGTTGTACCAAGTATATCTTCAACAGATTCGTAGAAATCACGATATTTCCACTGTTTAAGCGAGCACTGAGAGAAAAAATGTCGGATGGTTTCGGGTTTCCCACATTAACAGTTGGGAGTCGCCACAGCTGTCCAGCTGTGGTCGTATAGTTGGGCTTTAAATAAGAAATCAATTTTTCATTTTGTCCCGGAAGCTTCAGATGTGTGGTGGACATTGTTGCGGGGAAGGTTTCATTTCTAAGCTATTATATTTGAGAGAAGATGCAGAAGGAAGATTTTTCTGGGTGGCGTTTAGTTCATCCCAGCTTGTCATCAAAAAGTGTTCAGGACCTTTGTATGTGAATTTAGAGGGAATAATGTAGTCTCTTCTAGATGTTTTCCGTCAAGATAGTGTGGATTTATTTCTAAACATAGGGAGGTGTGAATGTGGATATTGAACATGATTTTTTCGCCTGATTCCTTGGACGTTGCTCCAGTGAAATCCAGTTCAGTTGTTTCAGTACTTTACAGCGATTAGAGCCAGGAAGGGCCCCCGATATATTAAGACCAGCTTGATAGTGGAGGGAGGATAGTTTTAATAGGTTATGTAAAGACGTTGTGCTATAGAGAACATTGCAGTAATTAAGAAAAAGGAGAAATGTACGCATTGTAATGTATGTTAAGATGCTTAGATCGTAGAATTTTAGAGAGCGATTTTAAGGGATTTAGTGCTTTTTCGGCCTTGGTTAAGGTATATGTAATATGCTCGGAATAGTCAAGTTTATGATCAAGAATAAACCCAAGGTGTTTGTGGTATTTTTTCTGTGTTATAGCCGTGTTGTATAGAATAAGTGGACTGTACTTTTCTATATTTGGAAATTTCGTATACTTAAAAATCACTATATTGCACTTTTTTGGTTTAAAAAATCATTTCCACTCCACCGACCATGCTTCAAGGTATACATTCGACCCGTCACGTCATCACCTCCGTCAAGAAACTATTGTCTGTTGTAAGAATTGAAATCGCCATTTATTATGATTTCATCATGTCGAGAGCGTCTTGTTTTCTCTAGGCCTTCGGATAGAAGGGACATGTTGGGCTGATTGATTTGGGGATCTGTAGAATACACCGTAAAGAAGAGTTTTATGCTTCACTCGCAGCTCCACCCATAGGCAGTCCAACACGTGTAATTGCAGATCAGCTCGTCTTTTTACATTATATCATCGCATATATACAGGATAAGCCCTCGACCTTTATTAGAAAATATGGGTATTTGAAAGCCTTTGATTTTATACATGTACTTTTCACTTCGATCTTACCTAGGGAGATTTCCTGCTTCGCAGAGCAGAACAATATTATATAATCATAATAATGGCAAAATGGAATCTTTAATCAGCAGTAATGAGCAATATCTACGCGTGTGTTAATAAATATCATTTTATTTAAATAAACTCAATGACATACTTTTTCCAAGCAAAAAAGTCTGTGTTATTGATTCTGTGTTATTGATTTCTTTATAAACTGCCATTTATATTTTCTGACAATGGGACATTTCATAACTCATAATAAAAAGCGGTCTTTTTAAGGTCAAATTATCACTCAAACATTATGGCATGTTCCTTCACCATATGACTAACTTTTCCAATCAGAGACAGAAGAGTAATAAATTATTTTTCCGACTCACCCATCAGTGTCAAGGAGGCCGAAAATTTCCTCCGGATTGAGCGAGTTATCGTCTTCTCCAGGCGCTGCAGTTGTTACGTGTACAGTCGTCGCACAGGCTAGAATTATCGCGATTACTGCGAGACAAGTCATCTAAAATAAGAACATTGGTTATTCGATCACGGGCAAAGAAATGTGTCCGTGAACCATGAATAAAAGGAATTGAAAAAAGTTGTGAGGGATAAAAATTACAGAAAACTAATCTTCTATAATGTGAATATTGGCTATTCAAACCACGTGTAAAGAAAAGCATCAGGTGTGCTATGTAACAATATAATTAAGGGTTTAAAAAGAGATTTTAAGAAATACAGCTTGCATAAAGTCTTACCTTCAGCGAGTGTTTTCCTTGCTTGAATTAAGAGAATTCTATGCGCCCATGTAGACGGTGTTGACTGATATATGTACAACCAAGCCGGCGCGTTTTGAAAAGATCAAACGCATCAAGAGGCGCCATTCTACCTTCAACTTTAATGTAATTTCCTTTCATGTTCAAATCACTAAAGACATCGTGGTCTTGCTACAGTTAGAGAAAAAACCTTTTTACTTCACACATACTGAGAAAATAACTGTATTGAAGCGATAGAATAGAGAGTCAGAGGATCATTATGCCGAGTTGACAGTTTTACTGCATGAACAGGTGATATATGAACACCTGTTCCTTGTAACGTATATTTGCAGGGCAGAAACCACCAAATAAATTCCCCTTGACGACCATACTAAGAAATGCCTGCAAAACTGCATGAACAAAATTACTGGGTAAAACATTTCCTATCCCCATGGACAGCAGACACACTGACATAACTCCCAATGGCAAAAAATGTACTGTCATCAGACATTATTTCCCCGGCATTACTTAAACATGTGCACCCCTCTGTTTGTAAACAAACCACTGCACCACTCAAAGTCAGTAGCCCCCTCCGCCAGAGGTCCCATGACTGCACGGCACCTGTGCCTGGTCCTGAAAAAAACTGGCAGTAGTTTACACCCTAGCCTGCTAGTTGATACCAAAATTAACCCTAGCAACACACAAGAAATGCCAGGAAAAACCATGGAAAAAAGCACTAATTTTCGCAAACTGAACTACATTCGTGGTAGTGGTTTCTGCCCTGCACAGGGCCTGGTATTGCGTACATGTATATCTGTGATCAGCAAATTAGAAAGTCTGACCAGGAAATTTCGTGAAAGGCGGACAACCTTACGTATCCTTAATAAACATATATTCATCAATCCATTCGACACGTATAGGCCTACCGGTCTGTATTCAGATGGTTAAACGTTTTTCAATTGGATGAAAAAGTAAAAAAAAAAGGCGAAGAACAGCATTAATTGTTATCTTTTATTCCATCAATTATGGAAGGTAACAATATACGTTGATATATACATACTGTATATGAATATACACGTACATGTACACCTGGGAATTATTTCTTTCGCTATCTGCCCCTAGGACGTGGTGTCTTTTAGTAGGGAAATATTCCGAGAGTCGTATGTCATTCAAATAAAAGTGTCGTGCATTAATACTGAATGATCATTCAGAATATTGTGATCTTTCTCTGTTGCTTTTCCTTAGCATCAAAGGCATTCATTCCATCCACCGCCGCTCAAAGGGACACTTTTGTTACAACATTTCGTCGATGTAGCTGATGAAAGTTTATTTTCTTATTATATTCATGAACAATTTAAGGCCAGCAATTCCATTGAATAATACTGGTGGTTTTGAAGTGGATAAACTTTAAAAAAAAAGATTAAAACGTGTGATCCAGCGTTGAATAGATACTGGTTGTTGTTATAAAGTTGAGGTGCTTTGATCTACTACTGCGTCCATGCTAGCAGACTTACCGTATTTCATAGGTAAAATAAAAAAAAGATCTACCGGTGTCAAGTGTCTAGAAGTTTCGATGGGTCATTCATGGGTAAACAGAACAGCGTCAGTAAAATTACATACAAGTGAATATGGCTGATTTAATCTGCTTATCGCATGCTACCCTACATTACTTGAAGGATAATATATTATTATCGTCAGGCGTGGAACTGAAAGCTCAGTTCAAATACACTCCTTTATGCTGTTTGTTTACTTACTTCTGCCTGTTTTTCTGATATACACGCGTCTACATGTACATTAATTTTCACTTTGTACATCAAATATGATAATGCAGATTTTAATCGACAAATAAATAAATGAAAAAATAAAAACGATTATGTCATAAACATAACTTTTAAGGCATAACTTAAAGCAGTTTATCATGTTTCCTCGTGCAAATTATGACACCCCTCCATCAATACACTCTCGTACTAAGGGCCTAGCTATTTGTTCTTCATCCGGCTCCTTGCTCCAGATTCATACATTTATATAATTTACACGTCTATTTAATATTTTGATACGTCCAACCCTTTAGCTTCTATAGAGCAACTGCTAGTGTATAATTATACTGGTACATTGGGCACTCAGAATGAATTGTATTTCGTCTTCGTTTGGTATAATCTCAATTCCGGTGTATTATGTATCTATATACACAGTACCAAATTCAATCTGAAGTTATGGGCACTGCCTTTGGTCTTTGTAAATATAGCTGAATGGTGGTCCCTTAACCACTTGAAACTGCATGTAAGTAGCTTCTGTCTTGTTAGAAATATCGTGTAGAAAAAGCATTACATCTATCCCCTGCAGGATATGTCTGTAAGTAGGTAGCCTACTGATCTTGCAGTAGGCGGAGTTTTTCTTTTATACAAGAGGACCACGTTGACTCCCCTCTATGGGTTGACCAGGTCGGTCGCGTGAGAGATGGGGGATGGCACTTGGCTGTTTGTCTAAATACATCTGTCTATGTGCTAGACTGCGTAGCTATCTTTAAGTCATCTCGTTGCCTTCCTTGCTGATTGACTGTCTAATTCTCTAAGGCCCGGGCCTGACTGGCTGACTTACTAGCTTACCAACTGACTGGCTATCTGACTCACTCAGATCGGCCTGCTTGCTTTTTTATTTATTTATTTGGTACTTTGTTTATTTTCTGCTTGTTTCTTTGCCTGTTTGTTTCTTTGTTTACACAGTATGTGTACTTTTAAAATAAAATAATAATTATATCCATTTATTGTCTAAAACCCACGTAAAATGTTCAGAAGACTTTACATGTCAGGGGCAGGATTATTTAAAGGGGGGTCCGCAGTTTGAGAAGCCGACCCCCCACCACACACACACACACACAAACACACACACACACACTTGGCATGGGGTTTGGGGTCTGCTGAAGGGCCCCGAAAATTTTTGGTATTTTAGAGGGCGAACGGTGCCATTTGGTAAGTGTAGAACTATGATTCAGCTAGTCAAAATTCTAATTTCAAGAGAGGACCAGAAATCAAAGGGTGGGGGGTCAGGTTCCCCCTGAACCCCCTCTAAATCCGCCAATGCATGGGTAAAATTTACAGAATAAGATTAATAAAGTCAATAAATAAATGGGCATTTAAGATATTAAGATATTGAAAGACACAAATGATAGATAAACAAATAATCTCAAAGCTGAGTGAAAGATTCATAAACTTGGTTGACCAAATATACCATTTCCGCACAAATTCCACATTTTTATTCGGGGAAACTGTTTCAGTAACACATGAGTGCCACCATCGCACGCCGACCAGATTCACCATCTTGCATATTAAGAGCACCTAGCTGTACAGAAACAGAACAACCGGGCTAAAAACTAGTTGACCTTCTCTTTGATTGTTGATTCATTTAATGCGTGAGATTATGTGGGCTGGCCGTCTGGGACGAGTGAATGATACAAGATGACACTTAACGACACTTTGCGGTTACACGGTGACCTGAAATGACAGTTATGTTTAAAAAAACAAATGGAACATTCTATGTACTTATTTCAAGGTTTAAACGTGTACCACTCATGTATTAGGCAATTTTCATACAGGAATTGTGGCACAAAAACAACCGAAACAATTGACGTGGTATACAAGTACGTATTTTGTGGTGATGGCTTGGATTGCCGTTTGAAAAAATACCTTTAATAGTTATTGCCATTTAACTAGACAGTATATCAAATATCATCTACGCAAAGATTTTCAAAATGATCTGAATTGTAATTCTGTCAAATGAAATCAGAATCAGTAATATCTTACTGTTTTATCCCAACATCACATTTTGATTGAAAGAAGTTAACAATTCGACAAATATAAGGGTTCAATAAGGATTGTTTATCGGAAAAGTTTTCCTGCATCCCACTAGAAAATTTCTGAATTTTCATTATAAATATTCTAATAAAAGCATAACGGGTATTATTCCATTTCGCTGATCTAAGAAACATCTGCTACATGTAGGACAACCATCTCATTCACCCATTAAAGGGGTTGTCACTTTCTGGGTTCCGTTTACAGTCATTTTTTCTGCTCATTTCGATCACTTCAGAGTTTAAAGATTTAAGCGATGGCCTAGCGAGGGGGTACTAGCAGAATAGTGTTCTTTTAACCTAAATACCTAAATTAATTAAGCGTCCTCTGATATATGATCTATTAATAATGGTTAAAAAATGATGCATCCTGTCATTCTGCGAACAGTCCTAATTAACACTTTTAAGACTCGTGTTTTTCATTATTCAATTACGGTTCCTAGTTAAAAACTGCAGCATGTCCTGTGTTTCAATTCAATTAATTTATTCAGGGTATACGTTCATATTCAGGGGGTCGCCGGAGAGCCGCCTTCACTCTTTCCCAGAAGAGCTCTTGCCCCTCTTCCTCGCTAGGCCACTCTATATAGGTCTGCTTCCTTAGCAACAGGGTCAGCCTATTGCTGAGGTTCTCAGGTTTGATGTCCTCGAGCAATATCAAGACCAGGATATCCTTGTTCTCATCAAATAGCTTGTGCTGAGCCATCGTCATTTCCAATTGGCACCATTGACTCTGAGCAAAGTTGTTGGACAACACGAGGATCGTCTTCCTACTAACGTCTATACCGTCCACAATGTTGTCCACGATGTCATGTCCTACGATGAAATCTCTGTCGTGAAGACAAAGTTTGAAGCCAGCGTCATATTCTAATTTCGGAAGCAGTCTTTGTATAACCCAGGAACGATCATGGCAGTTGTAAGATACAAATGCGTCGAACACGTAAGTGCCGTTATCTTCAAACGGTTCTAGACGCTTGTAACGCGCACGTAGGGAAAAGCACCAGTAGCGTAAGTACCAGCGATATCTGTGAGACACAACTATCACAAGCGCCAGAAATAACATTGTAGAGACTCCGATGGCACTGGCTATAATCCATACGGTGCACTGGGCTATGGTAGGATGCCAATCTAAAAACAAAGTTTTTTCGAGGTCTTTTGGTTCAAAGCATTGGTACCGATGAATCTCAAGAAGCTTAACTTGGGTGGTTTGCATCCAATTGCGGAAATATAAATTTCCACACGTGCAAGAGAAAGGATTCCCACTTAAGTCCATTTCTGTCACGTTATTCCAAATGTGCCGTGGAAAGGAAGTCTCGTTCAACACACTAATTCGATTTCCGTTCATGTATAGTTTCTTTAATGATATTAGGGGTTGGAAAACGAACGGGTCCCACGTTGACAGGCTGTTGGATTGCAGTTGAAGCTCACTCAGCATTCCTTTGTTAACAAACATGTTGGGAGGAAGGACAGACAAGCCAGCGTTTCGGATGTACATTTTTCTTAGTTGTGTGAGATTTCGGAACATGGTCTCCATTGCAGTCGAATTTAAATGTCTCAGGTGATTGGAGTTCAAGTTAAGCTCATGCAAATTAGGCGTGTGCGAAAAAAGGTCATATCGATCTGAGCAGAATGTGTACTTGTTGACGCTTATATCAAGATACAATAGGGAATCACTGGCAAATGCCATTGAATCAATTGTCCTTAGCCCATCATGTTGCTTTGTAAATGATGCGTGTTTCAATTTTGTCATGCATCTGAGCATATTGCTCAGGAGCTGTTTTATCGCATTATTGTCTAAATATAACCTCTCCAAGTTCTTAACAGCAACGAAATCAATTTTGCTGATAGTCTCTATGCTATTATGGTCTAAACTTAATTCAGATAGATTTGGAAAAAGCGGATGCGTTTCATTGCCAAAATATGGAATTTTGCTCAGGCTGTTGTCCCGTAAATCTAAACAGCGTAGATTGTGCAAACCAGCAAATGTCGTGGGCTGTACGGTGTCAATACAATTCCCTTGTAAGCGGAGGACACGCAAATTGGACAGTCCGGCAAATATGGAATCTGGCAGAGTTTGGATGCCGTTATCGTTTAGGTTTAGTTCTGTTAGTTCGCTGTTCGCAAGGCAATGGAAAAGAGAGCTGTGCAGTTTTGATGGTTTGGATAAAATTTTCAAGCTGTTTAACCAAAGCCAACGTATTGATTTAGATATAAAACAAAAGGCGGGCTCTAGGGTATCGAAATGCAACCTTCTGTTTGCCGTCAAACTTATATTAAGTACACTGCCCAAGGGTTGAAACGTAGCGACCTCTATTTCAGATATAATGTTGCCATTCAATGTCAGATTTTCCAGTTGCGACAGGCCTGTGAAGGAATCGTTCTTTAACTTGGCTATGCGATTGCTGCTCAAAGACAGAGACAAAGTCGTGCTGTCACACGTGGGTATCTCCGAAAGGTTTTGACCATTACAGTTTACGTGCTTCAAACTTGAATCGCAGTGACATCTTGCTGGACAATAAAACCCGTTAACTGTGCTTTGGAATAGTGTTATAATTATCAGGCAAACAGCACCTGTCTTCATGTTGCTTCATTCCTACAAATAAAGTATTTTTGAGAAAGATCCCCTTCCATTTTAATATACTTTTTAAAAAAACCAAGCGCCGAAATTAGAGTAGTATACATGTACGTGAACTAAACAGTGCCGTTTTGAAAGTTTCCCTCATTAGTTTTTCAGTTTTAAAATTTAATTACAAGCTGACACATTGTTAAGCACTCATATGGCTTACAGTGAGACGGCGTAATTCAATAACGGACCTAAGTTTTTTTTTTTTTTTTTCAATTAAAGCTACGAATTAAACTTAGAAACAGTTTAGGCACAGAGAGAGAGAGAGAGAGAGAGAGAGAGAGAGAGAGAGAGATAGGAAAATGGAGAAAACTTACAAACACAATTCCATTCCTATTTCAACGTAAATATGTATCCCACTGCAGAAAAAGATGATTCAATGGATCATTCGTCTCACTCTCTCCCTGTCTCTCTGTTTGTATCGATAAAAGTCAAACACGGAAGTAGATAAAGTATAAACCCTGCAAACATGCCAGCCATTCACAGTGAATGGGTCGACAATTCACTGAAGCGATAACGTTAAATGATACAGAAGTGGGGTTTGTCCGATTAGACTGGCAGATCATGGATAATAAGGAGACCCCCCCCAAACTTCCTGTGGAGGGCCTGGGGCTGACCCCCCCCCCCCCCCCCCCCCCC